ATACTAGCAATTACTTCTTTTTAAATGTTGTTTTAATTTTCACTTCACAGCTGTAGTCACTAAACTCAACATTTTTGCACTGCATAACAAACTGCTAATACAGGAAGTAAAATACTCTAATTCAACTCCGAGTTAGAGACTCAGATGAAGTATTACCAACATTCTTCTGGGCCTTAAGATATACACCATCATTTGGCTTCATTATTCCTGATGTTTTCATATGGTCCATGGTATATGGGAGGATCAAGATATGAAAGCAGTCTTTTCAATAACCAACTTTGAACAGCCTCCATCTCAACCCTCGTAACATTCTTCCACAAATTCCCAAAGGATGCCTTACAACACTGAAGCAATCATTTTGGGTCATAAAAAGATAAAGAACCTGAAGTAACTTTTCATTTTTCCAGTAAGAAAATGATTATTTATGCTCTTAAAGTGAAAAGGAATTTGTACAAAAGGTCTGGAAAAATCAGTTTTGAAATATGTAATTAAAAACAGAGTTATACAAGACAATTCTACTGCTTATACTCAGTAAACATATTAAAAACTAAGAGACCAGGAAACAAATAATCAGACTAGTCTATCAGTAACTTGGATGTTTTCTGGAAATGCATGTCATGAACAATTTGTCCCTTGTGACTGAAAGCAAAGAGGGAGAAAAGGGACAAAGAAAATGAGTTCAAGCAAGAAACTAACACCCCTTTTGATCTTGCAGGCAAGCTGAAAAGAAAAAGTTTGATCAGTCCATAGCCTTATTTGAAGATCAAAACAAGCCTGAGCAGCTTAAAGCTTTTCTTCATTAAAAGAAAAGAAGCTATGCACAGTTAACTGAATGGTTAGTGGGATATTCTTTCTTGCAGCTTTGCTTAAATAATAGAAAAATCATTTATGAACTGCCCTGTTTTCCACAGAAGACAATCAAGGTGCATTTTACAAAAGTTTTTTCTACACAGCCTGCCACTTCTTTTCAAGTCTTCCATTACCTACGTGCTACCTTAAGATCTCCAGGTTGAGATTTAATAATTTGCTAATTTAATTACATAGGAATTAAAATCTTCTATTCATTTAGAAACAGAAAGCACATACAGTATATGGTGACTAGATCTTCAGAACAAAATTTGAAAACAAGTGGCTGAAGATATTTGTTAAGCAAAGCCTTTTTTACCTACAAAATGAAAAACATCAGTGAAAGTTCTGCTGCAATACAAAAGTCTGTTTGAATGTGTAAAGCTTTTGCTGAGACTACATAAATTCTAATCCTTAATATATGTTTTCTCTCCAAGAGAAACCATTTTCTCCTTCCTTTGAAGATGTCACAGAAACATCCAAAACTTCACTTAACACAGAGTGAATATCATACAGGACTCCTTAAATTCACCACTTATTTACTGAAGGAGAACACTCAAATATCCCAGAAGGACACTAGAGACTCAATTTTTGAAGTGTCATTCACTCTTTTGAACAGACTAATTTGAATACTTATAAGTCATATGCTACTATGGCTCACTGTGTATTTGGCTAATCATTTAACAGTTCCTAACTAAACGTTAAACATTTGAAAATACTTGAGGTCACAGTAGATTAACAGAGGAGTACCTAACAGCTGTTTGATTTAAAATTTGTCTGTTGCCCATATTCTAACCATTTAAAGTATCTTAACATGTTATATATTACTCTGCTTTCAATTAAGTATTTTGCTATGCAACACAATTCACATAAGAGCAGAGCTAATTTTGATCTTCAATTACATATGAGATATCCAAAATCAGATTGGCTGTCTCCAGAGCTACTTGTAGGCCACTACACTTTGCAGCAAAACAGTCCAACGTCAGAAAGTCAGCAACCTTTACCAAGGGCTTTTCAGGACAGCCGTGTATAACAGGAGAGCCAAACTGGCCTTGCAAAAGCCTCCAGTGGAGAGTCTCAGTGTTACCATTAATCCCACAGCCACATTTTGAAACTAAATCTGACCAATTACAGACAGAGGGAAAACCTGATGGAACAAACCAACAGTGTCCATAAACCATGTCCGTAAGAATTTCTCCATCATCATGATTCAGAGCACAAGCTACAGACTCCAGAGAACGGCAAAACCCATCAGCAACCAATTGGTATTGTGTCTGAGAACAATCTATATCTTTAAAACTGCTGGTGGACAGAGTACAACTCTAAAAAAAACAAAACCAGGAAAACAGAAAATTAGAACACCATTTTACAGAAATAATTTTCATCAAACATACATCATACTGTTGCTTTTTTTTAAACAGATGGTTCAGTCCTAACTAAAAGAGTTGTTGATGTGATGATTATTCCACAATAGGAAAAATTTCTAGACAAGTCAAAACTGAGCTTTGCATGATTATCTTTCAATATAGAAGTGCTACTTTTTTTCAACACTTAAAAAATATGCACTATAATAAAGACCAAAATATTAACAAGTACAAATATAGTATTAACAAGTCTGAAAGATGTAATTACCACCAAGTGCTTCAGATAGACCCCTTTGTTTTATATTAGTAGACAGCAAAAATGCAACATTAATCTAGGAACAAAGTGCTTTAACTGTAGCAATGATTCTACATAATTTCCTAAGTATATCAAGCAGCTTTAAAAACTTGTCTTACATACCTTGTGTCTTATGTATGAAGCCAAATGAGTTTCTGTACAGCCACCTCCTAACAAGGCCAAAGGTTCCTTGATTGTTAACTGTAACACATGTTCTGCAGTTTCACAGGCACGCTGAAAACCATATGAATGTGTCATTAGAAATACCATGATTAATAGGATTTGCCCCCATTGGAAAAACTACTAGAATAGAATTTTCAGTAGTTTCTGGTACAGACTTCATAAACTTGAATTATATGAGGATATAAAGCTGCTGAGTGATTTCCAAAACCATCTTAATGAAAAGTTTTCTTTATTTGTCCATAGTTGGTAGAAAAAAGAAGAAAATACAAAAATCTGTATTTTATTCCTTCTTTTTGCAAAACAGGATTACATAGAAAAAGTCAATCAGTATCGATGAAATTTCTAGAGCAACTATTCAATGTAACACTATGCTTGATGACCATTGCAGGTATTGCTGCTGGCCTTTTGATGGCCATTTTTTTCTTCTATGCTTTCATAGGCCAAGTAACAAGAATTTAAACGTTTATCCAGCACTGGCCTCAAGAACATGTGAAAAATATTTGTCTCTGAACAGCTCCTGTATTACAATAGAGACATTAAATGAACACGAGCACTTCATGGATTTTGAAATCCTAGAAGGCATTTCTGAATTGCTTTCTTGAAGTTGTACACCTAAACTCCAACTAAACTCCACTTGCATACTGAAAAATCACTTTTCTAAACTCACATTATCTGTATTTATCATTACTTTTTTTATTTTTCTATTAAAATCATGACTTTTGAAGAAAGATTTCAAGAAAATCTGCCTACCTTCAATTCATCCCATGTTGTTTCATTTCTGTTACAGAGTATCAAGCTGCAGATAACTGTGTCATTAGGAATTAGATGCACAAAATGTTTTGAAGCAAAACTCTCAATGCACACATCTTTCAAACTGCCATAACAACTGTGAGACAATGAATATATGGAAGCTATAGGCTTTGAACCTGTTCAAATAAGAAAAGCAGAGAACAGTATGTACTACTGTCATCAGAAGAGCTATCTGTTGCATTTCATAAACCATGAACTTTTTTCCTCTTGGCTTTAAATTATATGTATTCTTCAATACCTAACATTTCTATTTACACAGGAAATCACAAACAGAAACAGAATCACAGAATGATAGGGGTTGGAAGGGATCTCTGTGGGTCATCTTGGCAGGGTCACCTACAGCAGGCTGCATAGGACTGCATCCAGGCGAGTCTTCAATACTCTCCAGAGAAAGAGACTCCACAACCTCCCTAGGCAGCCTGTTCCAGTGCTCCGTCACCCTCAGAGGGAAGTTCTTCCTCACGTTCAGACAGAACTTCCTGTGCTTCAGTTTGTGCCTGTTGTCCCTTGTCCTGTCACTGGGCACCACCGAAAAGAGTTTGGCCCCATCCTCCTGACACCCACCCTTGAGATATTTATAAACATTTATTAGGTCCCCTCGCAGCCTTCTCTTCTTCAGGCTGAACAAGCCCAGCTCCCTCAGCCTTTCCTCACAGGAGAGATGCTCCAGTCCCCTCACCATCCTTGTAGCCCTCCGCTGGACTCTCTCCAGCAGCTCCTCATCTTTCTTGAACTGGGGAGCCCAGAACTAGACAGAATACTCCAGATGGGGCCTCACTAGGGCAGAGTAGAGGGGGAGCAGAACCTCCCTCGATCTGCTGGCCACACTCCTCTTAATGCATCCCAGGATCCCATTAGCTTTCCTGGCAGCCAGGGCACACTGCTGGCTCATGGGATTTTTTGAAAACGATGGCAGACTGCCCCATGCAGTGCCTCACTTGGATGGGTCTGCAGTCTTGGAAGCTTGACTACCCTACGGTCTCCTACCAACGGACCTTGAGCTTGTTTGGAGGTTCTAGCAGAGGAGCGCAGCTACCATATAGCCCTGGACCGATTAACGGTATGCCTCTATCTGGGAAGGTCGTCCTCTTCGACTGAGCACGCAGCTTCAGGAGGGACGCACATGGAGCGGTGAGGGAGGAAGGGGACACCCTCCTAGCCAGGCAGATCAGCCAAGTCAACCCTGGCAATCAATGGGGTGACAGATGTCACAGCCAGATCACCCTCACAACCAACATGATTTCAAAGTGTGAGACAGTTTATCTTAGTTTAAGACAAAAAAGTAATTGTTCCATACTCATTCAGTAAGAGTTTGAAAATAATCCACATTTGCAAACAGTTACTATAACTGGATATTCCTCATGGAGCAATCTGTAATCACACATGCAGTATGTCATCATTAGAGCCTACAAAAGACCCATCTCACCTTAAAAATGGTTTTCAGACTAGAAAAGAACAACTTTTGCTCAACTGTTAAGTTAGGGTACAAATAAGAGTATCCTTACTCTGTAATGACACCATCCTAGATAAGTTTTCATTGTAAGAGGAGGGTTAAGGACATTTGTTCAGTACAGAAAAATCACTTCTTACCTGTCATCCGACTCAGGGGTTCCATCAGAGACAGCCCAGCTCTGTCCACAGCAATGACATTGTTCTCTTTCAGATACCGTTTCAAGGATGGATGGATAACTTTCTGACACACTACAAGGCCAACTTCATCATTAACCAGCTGCTTTCCTACATTAAGCAACTGATTTAGCTCTGACATTTCTAGAGAAATTCTGTGATGGACTGTTATAGTCCCTTCTTCAGAGTCAAAGAGGTCTCCTGACATGGACACACAGAAAAGTGCTATCTTGATCATGTTTGAACAAGTTCTTTTGACAGTAAGTGAGTTTGCCAACTGAATTTCTGGTGTTTCTATTAGTAGTCCAGGAAGAACTGCAGAATCCACAACTCTCCTACCCTTCACAGGTACTACTATACACTTTCCTAAACCAGCATTAGTCTCAACATGACATGGAACAGTAAACATAAAAGCCTTTAAAATCAGCATGGTGAGATGATCGACTTCTAGTTTATTAAGCATGCAAGCAGGTTTGCTTGTTATTATGCTACGTACCAAACAAAGAAGAGTCTCAACACTGTTAAAATCCACAGACACTCGGCAACCACAGGCCTCAGATTTGAGGTAGTCCATACATAAACTCAAAAGATGCTTGCTTATTTTAATGACAGTGCAAGATGCAACATTCAGGCTTTTAAAGTTTTCAACCAAACTACAGCAAAGAATGGCAGTAAATAAGCCACAGTCACTGAAGCGGGATATATGGTTCTGTACAGAGGTCATCAACACCCTTAACACAGGATGACTAACAGAAAGACGACTGAGTATAGCTGAAGATTGTGAAGTTGTACAAACATTGCCTCCCACACCATTGTGGAGCTGTTTGAGTCTACCAGCCGGACCATAGCAAGATTTTAATATTCCACTTAACAGACACAGTGACTGACTAAATGTATCTTTTGTTAAAGGTTCATTAATAAATAATGGAGGCTTTTTAGCTTCAAGACGAGACATTTTCAAAGTAAGATTTTAATTCTGGCTGACAAACAGATTTCATTTTCACTTGGATCTATAATTCGTAGCACTTGAAACAGTACATTTCAATTCTTTGCAGCCAAGGATTATTATTTTAAATGGGAAACAGCACATACAGCACAATAATGACATTCATGTGACTGCTCATGATCTGTCTTAAAATGAGTCTTAAATCCTACTGTAATTGATACATAATGACAGCATTAAGCTATTTCATTCACGATGATCATCTTTTTTAGCTTCTGAATGTGATCGAGCAGACTTTTTTGCAACAAAGTTTACAAGCATGCTTCCAAAATGGACACCTATAAGTGACAGTCCTGCCACAAGCAGGAAGTTCTTTCTACTCCACTTAGCCCTCCTCATCTCCTCTTCTGGCAAGATGAAAAGCTTCAAAGCTAGTTATACCTACAATAAAAACAGAAAGGTATTAGGATAATCTTGTGACAATACTGCATAGCTTGAACTGCTATTTTATTTCTCACAGAAAACTCACATAAGGACAAACATCAAACCATAACGCTTCATAATTGAGAAAACCTATTATGATACATACTACAAGCATACAGTACACAAATTATACAAGTTTGTTGATAACTTCAATTCTGAGCACCAGTTTACATACTGTTTTACCTGTAGGTCTATAAGTAACAGGTCAGTATAAACTGCACTGAATTGTATGAAAGTGTCAAAACTACAGCAGTGTTAACCTGTTTTCACTCAAGAAAAAAAAGAACTGAATTATTCAGCATTGCTTCCCAGTCAACCACTTCAGAAACAAAAGCTCTTAATGTTCAAACAACGTTAAGAAATCTCTGCCTCTGAAAGACAGGTTTCTTATTTCAAGATGCCTAACAAATTTTTTTTCCCCCTTTTTAAACACTTCAGAACTTAAGGATATTTATTTACATTTCTATGTAATCTCTATAGTATTTAGACTTCTCATAGTTAATTGTTTGCTTTCTGTTATAATTACCATCCCTACTAACAACACAATACATTACTATGTAAAGTCACAACTATTTCTGGGCAGATTTGAACCTGAAAGGACACTTCTGCAGACTCAGTCACAAGAGTTTGACTGTTGCCTTGAAGTTATTTGAGTTTAGTTTTAAGTATCTTTAAGACCTGTAATACCATCACTTAACTGCTCCTATCACATAGGATTTAGCAGCAGTTTGAGATGTAGAATGCATTTTTTTTTTTTGAGTCCATGTAACTACCAGATTACCCGAGTTGCAAAAAAGAATAAAACTCTGGAAGACTGAAGTTAGAGCAACAAGACTGCATCTGCTAGAAAATTCTCATTTAATTGACTCATCTCCTGCCTCAAAGACACAGATACAACTAATGAGGCAACTTACCCACAATATATAGCACTAGTGCTCTTTTTCTGTATTTTTGTGATCACTTTGCATCACGTATGCCACAATCCCAGGTTCTGGAACAAAGTCCTCTGTCTTCACTTGGAAAATAGGACTGGACTTCATGTAAAACCACCCCCAGTGCACCAGCCCAAGGCTAGTTCCCATAACAATCAGAACTTTGTAGTCCTTCCAGATGGTTTTAAGACCCATTGCAAACTGGCATCTACCTAGGTAAAGATAATTTATTATTTTATATATACTCTAAAAATATTTTTTTACTCTATAATAATAACACAGATGAATCTGAATGTTAATATCTTTAATTACACTGCAGCAGATGACCAAAACACAAAATGACACAAGTCTTATTCTGTGAATGTGAAAAATAAAAGCTATAACAATAACCTCTATTCAGACATCTTGAAATGTTAATTGCTGCATTTCTTTCAAGCTTTGGCATGCTATATCTTAAAGCTTTATTAGTTTGTTATGTTTAACTAATTACAAGCATAATTAGATGGTAAATATTTGAAGCCTAAAACAAAGCAATTTCAAAATACACCATTCCTCCTCCCCCCTCCCCATTCACAGAATCACTGAGCTCCTGGCAGAATACGTAACTTTTAACTTGCAGGCCAAACAAGCTACAATACTTCTGACATCACCTTACATTTCCCAAAGCAGCAGCCATGCCTGGCTACCTTAGTCCTCTTTGCCTTTGATCTTCAGAAATCACAAAGTATCAGCAGAAACATAATGAATACATCCTTGTCTAAAAAGGATGCATAAGCCTCTACTTTGCATGAGATGTCATTAAAAGTTACCAACTACAGAAAGAGACGTAGATATACTCAGGTTTTATACCAAAGTAGCTTCTTGTTTTACACCGACAGACTGGCACAACTCGCACAGTATATGTCCCTACACCTGCCCACCTTCATCCACCTGACAGAAGAAACGCGTCCTACTAAAAGCCCTTCCCTCGTGCCGTGGAGATTTCACAGCTTCACACCACACGGCACAGCAGACTCGAGAGCTACGCAGCCGGTCGGTAGGCC